TGTGGTGAAAGGACACACACACACACACACACACACACACACACACAGAGAGAGAGAGAGAGAGAGAGAGAGAGAGAGAGAGAGAGAGAGAGAGAGAGAGAGAGAGAGACCAGCTTCCAGACCAGGGTCAGGGAATGTTTTCTGCTAGGCTTCCTGGGAATCAGCCCAGCTGGAGCTTAAGGTCACACGACCTAAGTGCTTACCGAGGTCACTGACCTCTGACCCAGTGTTCTGCCAGCCTTTGATAACGAGTTTGGTTTTTTTTTTTAATTTTAAATGTGTAGTGCTTTTATTTTGTATGTGTGTTGTGCTGACTCAAGTTCACCAGTAGTAACACACACACACACACACACACACACACACACACACACACACACACACAGAGGCTATCTGTGCAGTGACACAGTCGGGCTATAACAAGACTCAGGAACCCGAAGCAGAAGGGTAGAGAGTTCAAGGTCAGCCTGGCCTGCAGAGTGAGTTTGATGCCAGCCTGAGCGAACATAGACACACACCCCTTCTCATTTAAAAAGAAGGAGAAGGAGAAGGAGAAGGAGAAGGAGAAGGAGAAGGAGAAGGAGAAGGAGAAGGAGAAGGAGAAGGAGAAGGAGAAGGAGAAGGAGAAGGAGACATTGTATCTCTGCTCTTACACAGGTACACACAACCACACGCAGCCCACAGGAACACATGTAACGACAGACTCACACCCAGTACTCCCATTCCTACATCACAGGAGGTGAGGGGTGTGAGCTTGAACACACAGCTGAGCCCACAGGAACAGGAGCACAGCAACAAATTAACCCTGACGGCTCGTCTTCCTCGTGGCTGTCTGCAACACACACACACTGTATGTGTGCCCGTGCACGGGTCACCAGTAACCTGGCACACAGTAAATAGCTGTGTATTTACGATACAGTCACAGACTCAGGAACACACTCTCCAAAGCCACAGACTCTCATATTTCATCTTGAAATCCCCATGCCCTTAGCTCATGTAACCCTGGAGACACCATGGGAGACACTTCTGATGTTCTCCCAGGCCAGACTGCTTCACAGGCTCTAGAGACAGAGAAACCAGGGGCCAGGCATGGGTTCAAAACTCCCTTTTGTGTGACCTTGGGCAGATCTTGATACTTCACTGTCCCTTGGGCTCTCCCAGAGTACAAAATGGAAAAGCCACTAATACCATATCTGTAACTCCTGGCCAGGCTCAGAGGTCCATGAACTTGACATTTTCTTGTCATTTCCATTTTAGAGATTGGTAAACTGAGGTCTAGGTAGCTGGAACTAATTTTTCCTAAGTCATCTTACTGATCAACCAAATATCCCCAGCCTCAAGCAAGCAAATAGCAGCTCAGACACTATGCTCTACAGACACTGTAACTAGTCTCAGAGACCCCTGTGTCCCCTCAGTCTTCCTGTGTCCCAGCATCCCTGGTTAAAGATAACCCTGGAGTTTATACAGTGCCAGGGAGGGGAGAGAGGCAGTTAGGTAATTCCAGGCCAGTCCAGCCAGAGTGACTCTGAGGAACTCACTGCCCCAGGGTGTGACAGCACAATGTTTTATCCCTGTGTGAGGCTAGGCTGATGATTTAGTCTCTGTGCCTCAGTTGTTCCTTCTGTTAAATGGAAAGAATAGCAGTATTTCCCACAGAGGGAGATTGTGTGATTATCTACAACAATCCATGCAAAGCAGCAAGAAGCCGGGCTCGTGCATAGTAAACGTCTGTTTGTATTTACAAAGTTACAGGTCTTCTCTTCGTCTTTCTCACGGCAAACTGGAGTGAGAAGCTGCTGGAATGATTCAGGCCTGTCGCTGGCCCCTTTGTGGCCCCACCAGAAAGCTCTCTAATTGTTCTCTCTTGTTTGTTTGGAGACAGGCTGTTATTCTGCGCTCTGTTGCTGGCCTCAAACTCACTATGTATTTTAGTCGGTGTGTCTCTGACTTTTGACCTTCCTGGCTCGTCTGCTGAAGGCTGGAACTACAGCTGCCATCCTATCTGTGTTCCTGTGTACGGCCGACCGAGGATGTGGCTCAGTTAGCAGAGTGTTTACTTAGCACCCAGGGAGTCCTGAGCTTGGTCCTCGGCACCACATAACCTGGCAATGTTAACACAGAGGAGGAGGCAGGAGGGTCGGGAGATCAAAGTCATTCTCGGCTATGTACCAAGTTCAAGGCCAGCCTGAGTTACATGAAATCCTGTCTAAACAAAAGTTCCCCCAAACCTGACTGAACCCCAAAGCTGTTTTGTTAGCTCACTGAGCCCTCTCTTCAGTCTGGGGATGAATAGCATGAATTATCCCACTGACAAATAAAGAAACTGAGGACCAGAGAGACTGAGTAACTCTACTGAGGTAACACAGGACGGGGGCGGGACCCCAGATCTGTTTGGCTGCCCTCTTCCAACAGCTCCTCAATGGCAAGAGGATGCCTGTTCCTTTGCCTTCTAACCCCAGGCAACGAAGAAGTGGTTGCTACTACTCAGTTAGAACCGACTGGCCCTATGAAGCTACTCATGTAAGGGTCTCTGTTTCCGTTTCCCCATTTTAGGAGCAGGGGTTGTGAAGCAGGGATGACAGTACCTCACCTCACACGGTGTGACGTCAGTGAACTAACACGTGGAAGACCTGGCACACAGTCGAATGTGGTGGCACCTGTCATCCCAGCACTTGGGAGGCTAAGCCAGGAGAATCTTGAGCTTGAGGGCTGCCTGGGTTACAAAATAAGTACTGGGCCAGTCTCAAAAATCAATCAATCAAGCAAGCAAGCAAAAAAAAAAAAAAAAGAAAAAAAAGAAAAAAGAAAAGAAAGAAAGAAGGAAAAAGAAAAAAAAAGAAAAGAAAAAAGAAAAAAATCAGTTTGAGAGGCATGAAAGGTCCAGGATATTAGGTGTGTATGAGTTATGAATTTTTCTCATTTAATGGAGGGACTCTGTCTTAGTTTCTAAAAGGATGAAAAGACCCAGTTATCCACAAATCCTCGATTCCAACCTCCAAGGAGAGGACACAGACTAACATGGAGGGGCCCTGAGCAGCTCCCTGGGGCTGTAAATTAGTCATGAGAACAACGGTGAGCCGAGGGTAGTGAGAGGATTAGGATTCTGGAGTGAAGCTTTAGGACAGAGCGGGATAGATCTGATGTGGAAGAGAGACGTGAGAATAGTGTCTGTATCCAGTCTTGGATCTCAGACCCTCATAGAGTTAATTACAGGGATTTTTCAAGAGGAGGTCTGGCTTTAGGGCAGCTGTCATACCGACAGTGACCACCAGGGGGAGCAGCTGGCCTGGGGCTGGCCTGGTGGTGCCTTAGTGAGTGGGTGGACCACACCCTCCAAGAGAAGGGGCTGGCCGGGAACAGCTAGGATATCCCCCATCCCCCAATGAATTCTCCTCCTAGCCCTCCCATCTGCAGTCTGTAGAGCCATCTGGTCTCCACCCTGGGGACATCCTTCCCACTCTCCCCAACTGGGGTTGAGTGGGGACTCTGATGAGGGGGTTGGTTGGGAGTGCTTAGGGTGGCAGCCCTGACAGCCCCGCCCCCTCAAGGCCATTCAATCCCTTTCCTGAGCCTTTTCTTCCGATGGCCTCTGACCTCCTCCTTCCTACCCTTCTGCTGGGCACATCTCAGGCTACAGCAAGTGAGACCAGCGTGGGAAGACACCCAGAAAGTACTGGAAACTTGAAACGGGGCAGGGAGGTGAGAGTTACAGACACCAGGCAGAAGGACCAGGACAGACAGACAGACAGACAGACAGACACACACACACACACACACACACACACACACACACACCAGAGACCTAGAGGCCAAACCAGAGAGACAAAGACAGAGAAACAGAGATCACAGAGGGTAGGAAACAGAATAATAGAAAGATAGGGAGAGAGAGAGAAAGATATTGATAGAAAATCCCACACTCCAGATAGAGGAAGAGAGACACAGGCTGGAGGAGGGAACAAAGCCAGCTAGCCGCAGGACAGCCTGGCCAGCAGCAGGATGGAAGGGCATCCCACGGAGATGTAGTGGTTCAGGTCTGGCAGGGTGGAGACAGAGGGAGCCTGGGCTGGGGCAGGGGGCATGGGAGGGGCAGGCATTCTGTTTTTCCTGTTGGCCTGGACTGGGACAGGAGTGGCCTGGAGTCCCCCCAAGGGAAAGTGTCCTCCACGCTGCTCCTGCTCCAAGGAGACAACCCTGTGTGAGGGCTCCCCCGAGCTGCCTGAGAGCTTCTCTACCACGCTCCTGTCACTGTGAGTGCCAGGCCCTGTGTGGGCCCAAAGGGAGGGAGGAGACCTGAGACTCCAGGATTTGGGGTGGGGAGCGGAGGTCTCTCAGATTCTTGGACACCACAGAATTCAGGGCTGTCTGAAAGATTTGGAAAAGTTCAGGTTGGGGGAGCCCCGAAGGCAAGGGGGAACAGTGGAACAGTGGGGGAACAGTACTTGAAGTAGCATATCCAGGGCTGGGTGCTGCCAGGGACCTTGGCCACGTGGGGAGGGAGGGAATAGCAGACACCCCCAGGCCAACATGGCAGGCCAGGGCCTCTAGAGCACCCAAGGCCTCTGATCTGAAAGAGGAGAATCAGAATGGTTTTCTGCTCACTAATCTCTGCCATGTCCCCAGCTCTCTCGTCAGGATGGGGGTCTCCCGGCTGAAGGCTGGCAGCTTCTTAAAGATGCCGTCATTGCACCTGCTGTGAGTGTGGTCTGGCTGGGCTCACAACAAACTGCTTAAAAGAATCGGTTTTCCTACTTGGGGGTGGGGGGCTGTGTGCACACATGCACGTGTGTGTGTGTGTGTGTTCACCTACACTCATGTGTGTGACATCTGTGTTGTGTGTGGGTGGATGCATGTGGAGGGGTATGTGCATGCACTTGTGTGTGTGTGTGTGTGCGTGAGAGTGTGTGAGCACATATGTATGTACACATGTGTGTGTATGTGTGTGCCCGAATGTGTGTACACTTATGTGTGCCCACATGTGTGTACACATGTATGTGTGTGTGCATGTATGTGGGGTATGCATGTGCTCATGCATGTGTGTGCACATGCGTGTATGTGCATGTGTGTACTCACGCACATACATACATGAGGCTTTTCAGACACCTGTGAGGAAGTGTATGCATCATGTGTGTTTATGGAGGCGCCTGTGTCCGTTCAGACAGCCCCACGCTTGCATGTGTGCCTTTGGGTTGGACGGGGGCTAAGGGTCCAGAGATAGATGCTGGCCTGCAACTCTGACAACACTGCCCTGCCCTCCTGCAGCCTCTTCACATCCAATACCTTCTCTGTCATTGAGGGTGACGCCTTCATCGGCCTGTCCTACCTGCAGTACCTGTAAGTACAACCAGAGGTTGGAAAAGGTGGGCTTGGAGGTGTGGGTGAGCCTCTCTGTGCCTCCTGGAGGAAGGGAAGGAAGGGAGGTGGTTTGTAGACGGAGGCGTCTGGACAATGGCTGGCTCCTAGGAGGAAGTCTGCAGAGTGTACAGCTCAGGTCAGAAGTGACTCTCACCTCTGTGTATTTCAAGAGTGCAAAGGGAGCTGGCTCTGGTGCCTCGGGCCTGTAATCCCAGCTTTTTTTCAGGAGGTTGAGGCAGGAGGATGGCTAATTCAAGACTGTTTGGGCCCTGTCTAATAAGGAATAAGAAATAAACTAAGACGAGAAGCGTATCTCAGGAGAAGGTGCTTGCCTAGCATGTGTGAGGTCCCAGGTTTCAGTTCTAGCTCCAAAAATCATGAATCAACAAAGGACCTGGAGAGCTAGACTCTATTGTCCTGACGCAGGAGGACTCCAGGAAGGGGGTATACAGAGAGGTCAGAAGCGGGAAACATGTCAAATTACTGGGACACAACTTGAAGCTATGCAGTGACCATGTGACAGTTTGGGGGGGGTTGTCAGAGTTGGACTGGATGGCAGAAGGGATGACTGTAGGACAGGGTTGCGGTGCTGCTGGTGGCCTGGTGACGCTGGTGTGGTGGGTCTATAGGGGGTGTCCCTGGTAACTGATGGAGGAGAAATGGTGGTTATATTGCTTCTGATGGGCTGTGAGGGATGTCGACTAAACGGCTGCCACAATAGTGTTGGTGCTATTAGAAATATCTACAAGGTGTATGGGGCTCGTGTTTGTGAAGATTGCCAGTGTAGAGGTGGACGCTTGTGGTACGTGTTGATATTGGTCATGGCTATGGGTGAAATGTTGGTGAGAGTTTTCTAGGTTTGTGTTTTGGGTGCCCTTTTCTATTTGTTTGTGGTGTTTGTTTTGTGGTGATGAAAATGGAAACTGGGATTTTGGGCAAGCTAGGAAAGTAGTTCCATATCCCTCACTGGGGGATTCTAGGCAGGGGCTCTACCACTGAGCCACGCCCCCATCCCCTCATTGGAGGATTCTAGGCAGGGCTCTACCGCTGAGCCACGCCCCCATCCCCTCATTGGAGGATTCTAGGCAGGGGCTCTACCACTGAGCCACGCCTCCAGCCCCTCATTGGTGGATTCTAGGCAGGGGCTCTACCACTAAACCACACCCTCAGCCCCCTCACTGGGGGATTTTACGTAAGCACTCTATCTCTGAGGCATACCTCAGCCCAGGTAACATGCTTTTAAAAACTATTTTTAAATTTCATTTATTTGGGGGGTGGGGTCACAGTGCCATGACCCAGGTATAGAAGTCAGAGGACAATTAACAGCAGTAGATTCTGTTCTTCTACCACAAGGGTCCCAGGAATCCAATCTGGGGCAAACTGCCTCTACCTGCTGAGCTGTGCTCCAGCCCTGTTGTTAGTCTTGATGCCGTTGGCTTTGGGATTGCCAAGGATGATGGAATTCCTGGTGCCGGTATCCATAAAAACCGTGGCTGTACTAGTGGTAGTGGTGGATGGTGTGACTGTTGGTGGTGACGGTGACGCTGTAGGTGCCCGCTGAGGTTTGCAACAATGGTGGCAGTGTTGGTGTCATGGCAGTAGTCTTGGTTCTGGTCATGAAGGTGTAATATTGGGGACACTGTCAGTGCTGTTGGTGTGGGGGTTGGTAGTGTATGTTGATGGAGGGAGAGGACAGCATGGTGCTGGGGTTATGTTGGGGATGCCAGCAGTAGCGGTGACTATCCGTGGTGCCACTGGTGCCTGGGTGGTGGTGGTGATGGTGATGGCCGTGTCTATGATAAGCTTGACAATGATCAGACAGCCAAGACCTATGGCTACTGTGACAGTGGCCCTGGTGAAGGGTGGTTCCTTCTGGTCACACAAAGTAAGAGAGGAGAAACCAGCCTTGCAGTGGCTTCCTAGGGCCAGTTTGCCCAGTGCTGTGGGCCTCCCCCTTACCTCACCCTCTCTCCACAGCTTCATTGAGGACAACAAGATCGGTTCCATCTCCAAGAATGCCCTGAGGGGACTTCGCTCACTCACCCACCTGTGTGTATCTCCACAGTTCAGTCCTCCACCATAGGCAGCCCGACCCACCCTCAAGGCCATAGCATCTCCTGGCCCTGGCTGACACTCTTTCTTCTCCCCGCTCCATCAGAAGCCTGGCCAACAACCACCTCGAGGCTCTACCCAGATTCCTGTTCCGAGGCTTGGAGACTCTGACTCATGTGTGAGTTCAGTCTCTGGGGGAGGGAGGAGGCTTGGGAATGCTTTTAGGGGGGAGATCTGGGCTTTCTTGAGTATCTCATGTGACTACGCTTCTTTTATACTTTGCTGTCATCTGAGGGTGCCATCCTTGACCCTAAGACCACTTGGCCTCTAAACCACAGAAACTGGGTCACAACTTTCCTCCTGGATTCTTACCCCAGGGACCTCCGTGGTAACCCGTTCCAGTGCGACTGCAGAGTTCTTTGGTTGCTACAGTGGATGCCTACAGTGAATGCCAGTGTGAGCACGGGGGACTGTGCGGGGCCCCCTGCCCTTGCTCAAATACAACTGAATCACCTTGACCCTAAGAAGTTCAAGTGTAGAGCCACAGGTGAAGGCTTCCATCCCTCCCCGACTCCCAGG